GGCCCCGTACGGAGATCAGGGCTTCGGGTGTGAGGGAAAAACAGCCAGAGTAAAGGGCGGGACGGCTGAAATAAGCCTGGAAGAGCGGGCGGGAGGGCTTGTGTCCCTGCCGCGGGGGTGGGGGGCGGCGAGGGGCGCCCATCCCCGGCCGCTTCCCGCCGCCCGGGGGCTGCTCTGAGGTTGCACGGGGAGAGCGTGATGGGAAGGCAGACCGGGGCAACAGAATGTGTGTTTTTACAGAGGAAATGCATATCTGTTTAAGATAACAGGGTCCTCTTTCCATCTTGTCAAACCCAGGTATTCAAAAGGGCCTTGGGACAGCAAAACCCCAGGCCTTTTGTCCTGCAAATCATTAAGGAATTAGTGGCCAAACACAGAAGGAAGAGACACTAGTTTCTGGCTTTTTGAGGTTCGTTTTCAAGTGCGATTGAAATGCTACAGCCGTCCCCTGCAAACTCGCCGCCTTTCACGGGGCTGCAGATATTTGTCAGTGCGAAGACCTATTTTGGAAAGTTTTCTGTTTCCAAGGAATACAGTTGCTGAGGAAACAATTTACTTGGGGTTGAAAAATCCCCGCTCAAAACTGCATTCTCCGTCTTGCACATATGCACATCAAAATAAACAAATGGTTTCTAATCCTCTTAACTAAATTTCCAAAGAAAATGTACAGCACAACTGCAACAAGAGCACATTTGCTCAGGCTTTGTATGAAAAATGCATGTGTTTGCGCTTGTTTAGAGTACCAGTATAAGCTTGAATGATTTCCAGCTAAATTCTGCCCTTTAACTCCACTTCCTGGAATAAAAATAATTCCAGGGAAAATCTTTTGCAAAAGTCAGTGAGTTAATTGATCCCATGCTCAGGAAGAAGAGGTAGAAACTTCTAGCACAAGCAACTCGATCTTATACTTCAAAGATAAGAAATTGCCATCCGCTTGGTTTAAACATTAGCCTCTGACTCTGTTGGAGCTCATCTTTCCTTCACCACCCCTTCCTATCCTCGTGCTTAGATCCATGGAACCTGCAGGTTAGGAACATAGGAGAATTCATGTTGGACGGGATCTCAGGAGGCCTCTAGTCCAACCTCCTAGTCAAACCAGGGTCAGCTCTTATCTCAGATCATTCAGTAGTTACACCCCTCCACGGGGGACCCAGCACTCGTTGCAGCTGGAGTCAGTTCATCACAGCAATGGTAGGACCAGACCCAAGGTATATGATGCTATGCTGAGCTACACAAGCAATAAATACCTGAGGCCTGAGTCTTCCCGAGTTTGCTGACTTCCGTGGGAGTTGTGTGTCCAAGGTTTGTGTGTATAGCATGTATGAGGAAGATAGGTGGCTCTGGACCTGGCTGTGTGTCTGCACTTCACAAAAGGGGAAGCCTATCCACTAATGTAAGAAAAGCTTTAGAAGAGACATCTTGGAACTCAAGTGTTGTTCCCTCTCCAGTCACCTTCCAGCTTGATTCAATGAGCTTGAAAAAGTAAAATATGTCCTATCTCTGTTATTACAAAGTCAAAATACTTTTAAGCATTGGGTGTATTTAACTGTAGTGGAGGATTTTGAGTTTTGTGCTGTTTTTCAAGGCTGTGTTTGCTGCCAAAAACAGGTGTTTTTTTGCATTAAGCAAAGTTTTATGAAAAGTTAGTGGATATAAGACCCTATGGGTCTCCTGTAAAATTACCTAAAGGAGATGAGCCACAGGCAGGAGTACAGCATGGACCTCTCCTTATTACAGAATCACAGAATCAACTATGTTGGAAAGGACCTTGAAGATCATCCAGTCCAACCGTTAACCTAACACTTACAGTTCCCATCTACACCAGATCCCTCAGTGCTATGTCGACCCGACTCTTAAACACCTCCAGGGATGGGGACTCCACCACCTCCCTGGGCAGCCCATTCCAATGCCTGACAACCCCTTCTGGAAAGAAATGCTTCCTAATATCCAGTCTAAACCTTCCCTGGCATAACTTGAGGCCATTCCCTCTTGTCCTGTTGCTTATTACTTGGTTAAAGAGACTCAGCCCCAGCTCTCTGCACCCTCCTTTCAGGGAGCTGTAGAGGGCGATGAGGTCTTCCCTCAGCCTCCTCTTCTCCAGACTAAACCCCCCCAGTTCCCTCAGCCGCTCCCCGTACGACCTGTGCTCCAGACCCTGCACCAGCTCCGTTGCCCTTCTCTGGACACGCTCGAGTCATTCAATGTCCTTTTTGTAGTGAGGGGCCCAAAACTGAACACAGGAATCGAGGGGCGGCCTCACCAGTGCCGAGTACAGGGGTCAGATCCCTTCCCTGTCCCTGCTGGCCACGCTATTGCTGACACAAGCCAGGATGCCATTGGCCTTCTTGGCCCCCTGGGCACACTGCTGGCTCCTGTTCAGCCGGCTGTCAATCAACACCCCCAGGTCCCTCTCTGACTGGCAGCTCTCCAGCCACTCCTCCCCAAGCCTGTAGCGCTGCTGGGGGTTGTTGTGGCCCAAGGGCAGCCCCCGGCATTTGGTCTTATTGAAACTCCCCCAGTTGGCCTCAGCCCATGGCTCCAGCCTGTCCAGGTCTCTCTGCAGAGCCTCCCTACCCTCGAGCAGATCAACACTCCCACCCAACTGGGTGTCATCTGCAAACTGACTGAGGGTGCACTCGATCCCCTCGTCTAGATCATCAATAAAGATGTTGAACAGGAGTGGCCCCAACACCAAGCCCTGGGGGACACTACTCGTGACCAGCTGTCAACAGATTTAACTCCGTTCACCACAATCCTTTGGGCCCGACCATCCAGACAGCTTTTTACCCAGCAAAGCGTGTGCCCATCCAAGCCACGAGCAGCCAGTTTCTCCAGGAGAATGCTGTGGGAAAGGGTGTCAAAGGCCTTGCTAAAGTCAAGGTAAACAACATCCACAGCCTTTCCCTCATCCTTATACCAGGTCTTCACTGCACTGCTTTCAGGAGGGTATTACAGTTGGAGGCAAACACCTCATGTTTATCCCAAGGTAGAAAGGCCCAGTTCTAGCAGCAAAGAAGTCTTCAGTGATGTTCTGTATTTCAGAAATGAGGCAGTGTCAAACCAGCTGTTTGTTAGCTGGAACCATGGTGGGGAGCACAGGCGAATGGGTGGTGGGGAGCAAGGGGCCAGGTTCTCCTCTGCTGGGTAATTTTTCCATCTCTCATCTATTGAATGCTACTTCTCTGACCTGGCAACATCAACATGCTCTTTGATTATAGGTGAGGATGCAAAGGACACTAGATAGAAAGAATGAGAAAGTCAGTGATGGAAATTTAAGGAATAGAAAAAGAGTGTCCTAGTTTTGATCCCAGGGTTTTCTCTTTAATTATGGGGAAAAATGAAATATATTTAGTAATTGACTACTTAGTAATCAGTGCTAAATTGTACTTATTCCCTTACAGATCAGGAATGTTTTGTGTATTACTTAGCCAGCATATAAGAAGTACTGTTTGATAAACCTGTGAAATAAATACACATTAATTGATTACATTTGAATCATGACAACCCCTCCTGTAATAGCTGCAGCTGTGCACTGTAATGTGCATGAGTATTTTTGGGGTTTTGTCATGATTTTTAAGTAAAAAGGGAGAAGAAAAGGATGGTTAAACATAGAAACTATCTACTATTGACATATGAACAAGGAGAAAAAGTTACAGGGTTCAGAAATTCTGTGTCACTGGATGCGTAACATGATAATGCAGATACAAAATAAACGTATTTATAAATACTTTTTTTTGAAAATAAATAGATATAATTGTCACAATATCATATTGAGGACCAAGCAGCTCTAGGTATAAAGCCAAACTTTAGGATAAGGCCAGTCTCTTTGGTAGTGCATATCATCATCTGTAAGGTCATAATCACAGGCAAGGCTGACTATCCTGTAAGAGCATTTAAATCACAAGCACCCCTTTAAAAATACTGACATAAGTGAAGTTTTCCTCCTGAACACTCTAATCAAACCAGAGTCTAAGATGACTAGAACTTTTGACTGAAATTTTAACTTCATTTTTATGTATTTCATTAGACTGAAGATTTGTATAAAACAAGTCCAACTTCTCAATCTTCTCATTATTCAATGATAAAAAATGAGAAAACAACCCATGAGACAGCTTCTTTCCCTTTTTCCCATGGAAGACCACTGCTCAAACACTGTAGTGAAGACTGGAAGTGGGAGGTTTTTCTCCCTGAAAATGTCTGATTCCTTTCCAAACCTTTGTATCTCTGATTAGACTTTTTTTGCCTTCTGACTATTGAGCAGTTCAGAGGGGGGAAAATAAAATAAAGTCCAGTCCCTCATTATGAAACTTGTGCAAGTATGTCTCAAAGTGCCCGCTCTCTTGTGACACATTAGAGAGCAGCAAGCATACATGTGGTACTGCTAGTATATACTAAATCTCGGATCAAGCCCTGTCGGTGTTTTATGCTGCTCAGGAAGCTGCTCTTCTTCAGCTTTTATTTTCAGTTTAATTTACTGGCCAGCATTCCTACAGGGATTGCGTTGGCCCTGATTTACACACTCTTGGCAAATCCCAAGACCTCATCTAGCCAGAAATGATGACCAAAGAGTCACTTCCTTTTCAATATAATTAATATAATGACAATATGTAGCATCATGAAGGTTGCCCATGTAGTATTATTACTGTTTATTAACCATTACAACTCCTCAAGCATTTGTACTGCTATGACAAACAGTGCTTTTTCCCACCTGCAAGGGCTTTACAAGTGCTCTTGCAGAACAATTAGGATCGCACTTGACTTGAATAATAGGGCAAACCTTCCTTTTTTTTTTTTTTATTTTCAGTTAACTGACATTCATTAAATATCCCAAGAGAAACATACTAGGTGCTTTCCTGCTCAGATAACTTGGCAATCTCAGCGATGTTCCCTGCTTGTGGAGACAGAAGAAGGAAAAGGAGAGAGCAAAAAATCACCCCAACCCAAAATGATATGGGGTACCAACAAAAGGGGGTGAAAATGGTTCCTAGCACAGCTAGTACATGACCAGCCTGACTCATGCCCATCCGTAATAATATCCATATAATTTACACTTTTTACCTCAAAATGGACATAAGCAGCTATTTTAGTACATAGCCATGCTCTTCCAGGACACCACTGGAAAGTGTATGTCTCCTGAATGCTAGGTAAGGAAGACTAAATCATGGTCAGGCACCCATCAAAGCCTCTCAGTTAGTTTCTTAAGCTGACAGCTCTGGATATCCAGCATCACTTTGATTTGAAGGGCAGAGCTTTCTCCATCCTCAGGCAGCCTAGTAGTTTCTGCAACAGTATTGCTAATTTGGAAGCTGATGGTTTCCATCTCCCCACCCCTTTGGTTTATTACAAATATTTCATCAGACCAGCTGTAGTCTGCCATATCCTTCTTTGCTCTGGCCTGTTAGCAGTGATGCACAGTTGCTGTTATGGTGTTTCTCCCAGAGTGGGCAGCTGCAGCACTCCCATAGCACCTAGCTCAGGCTCTGGAAGGACCCATGGAGGCTTCCAGCTCATTTAATTGGTTCATTGTTCCCTAGTTTAATGTAGTAAGTTCATTGTTCCCCAGTTCAACTTAATTGAGTCATTGTTACCTGATTTCACTGACTGATTGCTGCCTGACTTGATTGTTAATTACTGCCTGACTTACTGAATCAGCAAGCTTCTGCTGCTAACTGCCAGCATACCTTATGGCTCCTAACCCATGCTGTCTACACTTCTGCCCCTTCGTCTATACCAACCTGCTCTTCGGACCTGCTCTCCTCTAGCCACATCCTCTGTTCCCTTTCTGCTTCTTCATTCTATTCTGTAGTGTTTCCCTAACCCAAGTGAGTTTCTCTCACTCATCCTCTAATCCTCCTCATCCTTCTCCTCTGCTTTTCCCTGGGTTTAGCCCTGGGCCTCCCTCCAGCTTTCCTCTCAGAGCTCTCCCCATGGCATCCCACAGTACCCCTCCTTGCTGCAATTCCTCTAAAACTGCTCCTGAGCTCCCCCAAAGGCTTCACGGTTCACTTGCTTCATGTCCCCCAGATTGCACTTCTTATAGTGGGATTTTTTTATCCTAATTCTGCCTACTAACCCTACACAAGCAGCAGCATTTGTCGGGTGCTCTCCTTTTTTCCTTCATTTCCACTACTTGCTTATACCCAGTTTTCTCTTCCTTTAAGGTAAATTCCAGAAGCCTCTCCCCTTGTTGCATGTTGCCTAGCATCATCCAGGCTCTTGGCTATTCTTTCTTCCTTCTCTTCACTAGATCCATTCAATTCCTTTGAGATTTCTGCGTCCACTCTAAGGATATCTTCTCTGATTGCTCCTATGTCATACTCTAGCCTTTTGTTTTCACTCAAAATGTTCTGATGATGGTCCAGGTTTTTCACTGACCCTCCACTCTCTGTCTCTCACTTCATTCCCCAATCTCCTGAAGTGCTAAGGCTTGGACAACTGGCCCAAGCCAGAGTTGACCTATAGATGAATCCTGCATATTTTATAACTGATAACCATTGCGCTAGTAGGTATTGTACTAAATTATAACAACGCACTTATGCTGATGTAAAAAGTGCTAAAGCATTGAAATACTGAAGCCTGAACAACAGGCCCCAAGATGAAGCTGCTGACTTAGTCTATAATCATTAACAAAGTATGTAAGCTCGCTAGTGAAGGATGCGACTTAGAATATAATCACTACTGAGGATGAAATGCTGAGAGAATGTATCCAACTTCCCTTGTTCAGCCTTGTTCAAGGCTGAGAACCCACGTATTTGGCCTTGTTAGAAACTGCCTTGGTCTCCCCTCCTGAGCCCTGGCCAGGCTTTGGGTGGAATCCAACAGAGAACGAAACCAAAGATTTTCTGCTCAAAACAAAAGTGACAGCTATTCTGGCTTGTCAATCTCTGGTAAATAAGGCTGGACCCGCTCACAGCAACTTTGGAAGCCTCACCTATGGGTGGATGCACCACATAGGATTCCCCACTTGCCGGGACAGGCTCTGCAAACCCTCGCTGTAACCGAGGCTCCCCAGTGACTGCAGATCTGGATGATGGTAACGTATGCAAGTGGTTATGGATCTTTCTTAATCACTGTTCGCTCTCTCATGTAATAATGATTTGATGCATTACCCTGTATTTTCCTATTTGTTGCTTTGGGTGCATTATTCTGCCTTTTCTTACTGCATGTTTTCTGTATTACTCTGTTATGTTGTTTGGTTATCACTAGTAAAATACACCTACTCTTTTCACTCTGGTCAGAGTTTAATTGGTATCCTTAATCAGCAAAACATGTCCCCAGATCTCTTTCATGTATCCCTCTGCATTTCCCTGTCTCCATTCTGCAGAAACATGAGATATAGGTATATCTTGTCCTCTTTTCTCTGCTGTTCTGCTCCACTATCCATCTGATGTCAATGCTAGGAGTAGGCACATGCTTCTGCAAGCAGAGAATTACTGTTTTTTGAAGTAGGTGTGTCAAGTTGTAAGTGTGCATTTAAATTAACAATCAGCATGAGCCCAGGCTTCCCCTTGGCCACTGCAGTGCATACAGGTGGTCAGCTCTACCTGTGCTGTCTCTCCAGTCTGCACAACATCTTGTGTAAGCATGTATCCCTCCTGATTTGGCGTTGACCACGCCTTGTTGTACTTTCTGGCCTGTCCTAGCTCCCTGTATTTACCCATTTTCTCGTTTTCTTATGTTGTCAAGTGCCTTGGAAGAAAGTCCAGAAAGAATTGCTTGTCTCTCCAGTGTAATCCCCATCACTAAGTGGCCAGCTGACAGACAGCTGGTTCCTGTATTCCTGGGAACAGATTCAGGGTGTGTTGCCCCTCCTTCCTCTGGCTCTCTCTTTTCACTAATGTGTCAAAGTTTTCTTGAAGAGAGGATTTTATTGTCTATAAAGAAACCTCTCTCTTCCCTTCCAGTCTTTAAGGGACCTTTACTCATCCTACACTGCATGGCTGATGGTCTTCAATTTCACTTGCAGTGAATTAACCTGCTTCTATGTTGCTTTACATGTATGTAAAAGACATTGGATTCCTAGGGCATTTTTGTTCAGACCCTTTTGGTTTTCAGATGCCAGACTCCATTGATTTCAAATACCTAAGAACCTTGAAACATGCTTTGGGAGAGCTGGGCCTTTGGCTTTTTAAACATCAGCAAATTTTCTTTTCTCTAAAATCTGTTTGTTTCCTTCAGCTACAAATTAATCTCAGGCTCCTGAACCTGAGTACAGTTCTTTAAGGAAGACCTGTCGTGGTAGGCAGGGCAAGATACACAGTTTCTGTATACCCTGGTTAATGCAGCGCAGTTGCATTCCCACTGCTCTAACTCCATTCTCTCCCCTATTAAGCAACGCACTTTGAATTAATGTTTACAGGTCTTCCTATTGTTGGCTTCAGCTCATTTTCTTCAATTTACAAAAGCCATCTGACTTTACAGATGATGCAGATACTGGCAGTCCCCCTCCTATTACTAGTATATGAACGCAGCCCTGTTCTCATGAAAGTTGGTGCCAAACCTCTCATAAAATAAGAACAGGACTGGCCCACAGGCTCTTCTTTGTTCCATTCTCCTTGATGGTAATTAAAATAATATTAAAATTAGCTCCAGAATTAGCAAGTGTCAGACTCTTCTTGACATCTTCCATTTTGTAAGGTGTCTTTCTGATAGTGGTTCCATTCACTGAGCTGATATGTAAAATATGGTTGTTCTAGACTTTTCATAGTGTGGAGCACACATTAAGAAAGAGAAATGGGGACAACTGCCCTTTGACATACAAGCAGCCTTTCTATTAGTATCTGCAAAGCACCCCTGTGTCAAGAACAATAGCTGCATAGATGGTTAACATAAAAAAACATTCATGGCATTTTACCTTTATTTGGTGTGAAGTATTTTTTCCTTTTCTAAAATGTTAATGACAGCCTAAAGTTGTTCCCTTTTTCAGCCCCACCCTGAACTTCAGAGACTTCTGCAGTTTGGGAATACACTGATACCAAGCTCTCCGTACTTCCTTCAGAAATTACAAGTGAAGCTAAATCTATGCAAGTCACTTCACTGCAGGGTTATCTGGTTTTAACTGGTATCATTGATGTAAGTATCCGGGTGTCAATATGCTCTAATAAAGAGGACAGAGATAAAAAACCCCTACCAAATTATTTATGCAAATGAGGTGGTGGGACACTGGAACAAGTTGCCCAGAGAAGCTGTGGCTGCCCCCTCCCTGTCAGTGTTCAAGGCCAGGTTGGACGGGGCTTTGAGCAACCTGGTCTAGTGGAAGGTGTCCCTGCCCATGGCAGGGGGTTGGGACTAGATGATGTTTAAGGTTCCTTCCAACCGAAACCATTCTATGATTCTGTGATGATTCTAAGATTTTTATCTCAAACTGAGAAACAAACAAAAAATCAGATGTAACCATTTCAATGCATTTGCGTGCCATGAAGGAACTGTTGCCTGCTGCATGGTGTAGCACCATGGTGTAGCATGGTGGACCACTTCTGTAGTCCCATCCCCCACTACCAAAACCCCCCACCACACACACAAACACAGCACGCACAGTGACATGATTCTTCCCTTTCACATGGGTGGTGTGTAGCTCAGAGAGGTCACCACGTCACCTGGAACAGTTGTGCCACCTTCCACAGTGTGCAGATGCAGTACCTGGAGCATGGACAGGGGAATGGGTTGCTGGTTTTCTCCACAGTGCGTTATGAGGTATCCTCCATGATGCACTTATGAAAGGCAGTATTGGTTACATACTGGGAAGTTGCTGATGTCTTTTTCCCCCACAAAGAGACTTTTCTCTTCCTTTCTCTTCATTCTGTAGTTTTTCTTCCTCTCCATTTCAGTTTACAGGATTCTGGTGAAGGACAAGATGTTTCTCTGGATTGGTCGGATGGGAGTCAGGATCACTGGGTGGGTACATGGCTTCACCCCCTGTCTCCAGAACAATGGGAATTTCCTTCATGCTAAGCAGCAGCAGCAACTTTTTTCACCAACAACTTCCCCTTCCACCATAGCATCCTCCTGTCTTTCCTTAGTAATGTCCATGGCAGATGATTTTTTTAAACACAGGACACCTACTAATGTGCTAGCCTTTAGCTAACATAAGTACAGCGATCTGAAAAGGCAAATGCTATACACACTACCTTAGATATACATATTAAGAAAAAGACCCATCTCTCCCTTGCATACTAACAATGCCATCTGCAAATGTCATCACAGTATGTTCAAGAGTTGCAAATTTTCCAGTTAAATCATGCTGATAATCTCTGACTCTGGGCAGGGATGGCTGAATACCTCTAATTTGGAAAGTATTATTAGGCTCTTCTGAAAGAAGGCCAACTTCCAAGGAGCACAATGAGCTTTGTTGGGGGCATCTCATGGAAGCAACATTTCAGGGGTTAGGTCAGGGGGTTCTGTGTAGGTCATAGAAAGTTAAATTAGCTTGATCTCACATTCCTAACACACACACAACACCCCAAAGGCAAAATGCAAGAAGCCACGTGCAGTCTACATCTTGAAGAGCTGAGTGAATGTGGCTGGATATAACTAACAGCAGAGTTTGGGCAATGGAGTTTAACCATTTGTATCTGCTCCTATTTGACAGCCAGTCAGAGACATGAATTTGGGAAAGAATATATAAATACAGAGTTTATAAATGCACAAACTGCCTACTTTCCCTACTGACTCAGTCAGAGTAAATATGTATAACCCTCTAATTCAGCTACTTCAGTTTCACAGCATCCAGGCATACCACAAAAAACTGATCTTCCTCTGAAGGTTTGCCTTGGTTTTTTTTCTACCGCCAAATTTTTGCTATTAAATGTTTACAATGTTTTATGCAGCTGTCTAAAGTACAATGAACCATAATCTGTAGGACAGATGCCCTATAAATTAAATCTTAAATGTGAGCTGGTAAGGGTCTGCAGAATTTAGCCTTCGAGATACAATGTGGGCAGGAGCTTACGAAATGCAAAGAAAGAGGCGCAATGAATTAGCAGCAAAGTTCCTGAATGGTTTAGCTCCTTCAAGTACTTTGCTCTCTTATTCCATGACTTTGTATAGAAACTTCATAATTACACAGCGTCACTGCTTTCACGTATATTTTATACTGCTATATGCGTTTCAGCTGTGAAAGACTGTGCCTTCTGTTGTCAAATAGATGATTATGGTTGAGAGTATATTTATGGTCCTTTGACTTTTCCCCACCAGTTGGTAACTTCAGCTACATATTCACTTTCAGATGTATAATTGATCATAAGAAAATAGCTTCAAATATAATCTATTACATTGACATTTTAACTTTGTGAATGATCGTATCTAAGAAATGTCCTTATTAGCTTCCTATTGGAAATATCACAATTGATGTCAACCTTCAGAGCTCCAGGTAGGCATTTTTCCTGACGCCCCTGGGGCTATGAGGGTCTGACATGGATGTTCAAATACATCCACAAAATCATTCAAAGAGGTGATTTGCATTAGCAGGTATTCACCTACTTAACTGTGTGCAGAATCAAACTCTATATCAGTAAATGTCATCAGTCTCAAGCCCATGTGATAGAAATGCACAAAGTCACCACTGTCCTCATTTGCCAAATATTCCTTAACATCTTTGGCCAGAGTAGAAAAATGGCTCCCTACTGGTGCAGAATGGAAACCTCAGCAGTAATTTACATTTTTCCTGATGACTCAAAGGAAACATTCCCCATTAATTGCCCATTCCCAGACTTACAGGATGAAAAAGGAGCAGGCTCTCTTGGAGCTTCCCAGCTCTCCCCAGACAGCTGGGTCAGGCCTCCTGTGTTGTCTCTGTCTTAAGGAGTGCTGGGTTTCCAAAACATGGCAAGGGCTTTTGCCTTGCTAGCTATTAAAAAACCAAAAAAATAATCACACTACATTCTTCTCTTGCCTCCCTCGCACCTTACCAATGAAATGAGAGAGCAGGTAAGAACCTTTTCAAGAAAGTGTTGGGTTTAACCGTGATGAGGTCCATGTGACTGAGGCTCCAGGGTGCCTCATGGCTCTTCCCAAGTCCTCTTTCTGTCCTCCCACTCACACATCTTGCTGCTTCTCACTTGGAACATGTCACTGCTCTTTACACCATTTAGGCCAAGAGAAAGAATTTTTGCCTGTTCTCACAAGCATTTTGATTAACTAAGCAGCTCAACAAGCAGTGGCAAAATAATAATGGGTTTCCATGAGTTACTCCAAATGGATCATGACTTTGAATTAATGATTTGCAACAACTGAGTGAAAGATTTTGCTATGTCAGCTACTGGATTTGAACAGGAGCCATTCTCAGCATGTGCTCACAGAAGCATCTCAAAAGCAAAATACCTTAAGAAAACACTCCTTATTCAAGCTGAGTAAACTGGACTCTGTGGCATAGGTAAGCACTAAGCAGAAAGCTAGCAGCATTTTCCAGCTCAAGCACTGTTGTGCCCAGCCCCAGCACTGTTGTGCCCAGCCCCGACACTTGCCTAACTTTAGAAAGACTTAAGGTATGCGGATGGAGTGACTACTGAAGGTCTTGACAGACCTCCCATCTTCCTCTCAGGAGAGAATGACTAAGTTGGGCTGCCAGGCGCTGCAGGAAGAGAAAGGGAGGGGGGAATCTTCCTGACTCTCATCCCTCTGTGATGATCCTCAGTCTCTACCTATCAAAGTCACTGAGAGTCAATCTCTCCTCTGGTGCCAGGATGCCCAGGTAGATGGGCCAGGGTAGTAGAGCCAGTCTTGTCAGAATAGTTCCAGTTAAAATCATAGACTCTCTCTAACTTGGTCAGGTACAAATCATGCTTCATGGACTGTATGAGATCCTACCTGAAGAAGTAATAAATATATCCCTCGCCCTGTAGGAGGTTATTAGAGAAATCCCATGGGGTGTCCTCCATCCCCTGAAGCATGTGGGCTACTGTCAGAAAGAGGGTGCTGAGATCAGCCAGTGACTATTAGCATATTTCTGGCCTGTCCACTGAGCCTATTAGTATTATCTAAGAGTTTTCATTTGGTCAACACTATTGATTTTCAGTGGCCAGTAAGTGATTCTCATCTATTGCCTGCCCAGTAGGATGGGATGGTCTCTGCTTAGGCAGTGTCTCCCATCAGACACCACAGTCAGGATTATACCTGGGGACAGCCCACCCCATCAAAACTACCCCATGCCACAGCTGCTCCTAACTAACCACATGCCTATATGCTCCCCTGTCCCAGTGCCCAACTCCTCTCCTCTCCTCTCCTCTCCTCTCCTCTCCTCCAGAGCTGACTCAGATTGTGGGAAGCCTTGTTGTCTCATGACATTTAAAGGTCCCCATTGAGTCTGTGCTAGACACGTTTAGGTTTCAGGAGAATCTTTGTCATCCAGCAAACTGGCTTGTCTTCAAGGAAGGACTCTTCCCGTTTATCCCAACATTCAGCCCAGCAATGAATGGGTTCCTGCTTACTTTGTGCTGCCAGTCATGCCCTTTGTAGTATGCACTGGCTAACATCTCTGCGATTTTGGGACCCAGCAGTTTGCATGGTTGGAGATAACAGGGCCTGACCACAATCTCCTATGACTGCAAACCTCCAGCCTCCTGGGTGTCCTCCCAGCATGGGGTCTTCCTGCCTTGATGCATAGAGCAAAGAAGTGAGGTTGCCCTTTAGAAACTGCATGTGCTTTTCCTTCCCTCACCCCATATAGCAAAACTGTTTTCCTTCCGCCATGTTCAGGATCTCCCATGGCTGCAGGGGAGAAAAGATTTGCCTCTGAGCCATGAAATCAGATTTGCTTTGCTGTAGACTTTTCCTCGAGCCAGTGAAAGCAGAGACAGGAAATTTGTTTTGGACTATTGAGTTCAGCTCTCCATACAGGATTTTTTGGCCACTCATCTCAGCTGGGACAGGAGAGATGGCTGAGAAGGGGGACCACCACCTGAATGTGGTCACCAGAGCATCCCTGACATAAGACATGAGACAAAATCCATATGAAAGCCAAGTGAGAGGCAGACACAAAGAGATGTTAACTTATGCTCTGGTCATCTATGAGGTCATCTGCCAGGAGGAGAGAAAGACTAAAAAAAGGGAAGGGTGGGTATGAAATGGGATTGGCAACTATCGCCAGCTTAACCAAAATGGACATTTAATAATGTATAGAACAAGTGACTCAGATTTGATGCTGTCTTTTAATTTAGGATCGATGTGTGTGTAGATTATATGGCATGTTTGCAGGAGGAGTGCTCATAGAATACAGATGTTATTAGAGCAGGATGAGTATTTGTATTTGGTCTCAAGCCCAAAGCCACATTACAGAAAGGTTTTAAATGCAAGTATAACAAAATAATTCAAATGCAGAAATGAGAACAGGAGGGTTGATTAGTGTGCAAAGGATGACTTTTTGTGCGACTTGCCTTAAATTTAACAAAGCAAATCTTGTAACAGTTTTCAACTAGAACAGGTGAAGGCTTTGGCTCTTGAGAAAGCAGTAGTCTCCTGCACAGAAGGGCATGTAAATAATCCTCACTGGGAATTCTGTAGCTACACCTTCCTGCAGAAGGTGTAGCTACAGAAATCAAGCTCTTTGATGGGATGTTTTCCTGTGCCACAGGGCTGATGCATTAGCCCGAGGTGCTCAGGATATGAGATGGAAGCCAGGGTGCCTAAGAAGACTTTTAACTCTTCAGAGTCATAAACATTGCTGTTTAACTGCCAGAATCCCCCTTCCCTCAGAGGAAACTGCTGCTTCTTTCTCTTTTACCACCGGATGTGAGTGCAGGCCTGTTATTATTGGCACTCCCTTCCTATGGATGGATTTTTCTTGGTTCAAGGCACTCTAGTAAAGTCTGAATTTTTAAAAGGGAAACCTGAGACTTTTTTGTTAAATTTTTCTGTATTTTATGTGAACAGAGGGGTTCTCTCTATTCTAGTATGTTTTTCATCACCAGGCCCTGGAGCATCAGGGACTCCTCCTTTACCTGGTACTTCATTACAACTTTGTCCATTCTTCAACAATAAAATAAACTGCACCAGTAAGAAAACAGAAGTCATTGCCTACCTTTTAAACAAAATTGTATATCAAAAACAAGAGAACAAGGCAGAGGTAAATAATTGCTTTTCCCCTGTCTTTATGAGATGAGCCCCATGCATAAAATCCGCACCCCAAAAGTAAGCGGGAAGGTGAGTTGTGAAGCACAGATGTCCAGAAGGTTTCAGTTTGTCCAGGTGCTTCTGTGAGGTTTCTCTGCATGGCCCACACCCTCCCAGGACCAGCCTTATCCAGCTGCCTGACACCTGGGCTGCTGTGACATCTTGGGGGTCTCACCTCCAGGAGAGACCCTGCCTACTCCTGGGACACAGAGCCATGGCTTACAGAGGCAATTGCTGGGTCACTGACAGGACTGAAATTGGTGTCTCCAAAGCCTGTGTGACTTCTGGGACATGCCACAAGCTGAGCAGGGGTAGAAAGTATTTTCTCATCTTGCTGGTTTGCTAATTAGTCTTGCTCTGTCAAATGGTGTCCAAGACCTACCTTTCCACTTCTGCTGTTCCCTTAAGGATCTTATTCTATTTTCTTTTTCTTCTAATTTTTACAAATATTTGTCCCGAAAACAGCCTTTCTGAAATGGATACAATTCAAATAAAGCCCTGACTCTGACCTGTCAGAATTTCCCCAATCCCTGAGGACTCCCAGGCCATCTCTGTGCTAAGCACTGGGCCTCCAAGTCTACCTCATCAGCATATAGTAAAGCTCATGGAGGAGAGGAAATCAGACCATCTTTCATCGTGCATGATTTCATGGCCTTGTCATGACACATATCACCTCCTGTCCATCAACCCTGTTGTGAATGTGTAGAAGGTCATCCAAATGGTTTTGGGAAATCACACATCTGCTCGGCTTCTCTGTTCAGTTTCCCAGCCTAATCCCAGAGAGCAAGTGTTCCCGGGCTTTTTCTTTGGGGACCCTCTGGCATGAGGCAGGAATCTTAAGAAGGAGAACTTT